TTTACCACTAGTCTAACAACACATTATATGTCAATTAAGTCATATTAAAAAGAGTTAATAATGAATTTTAAATATTTAATGTTCACTTATGCATGTATATATCTAATCACAATCATACATTGGGATATAAATATATGTTACTCCCTCCGTATTTAAATAAATAAAATGTTTCTCTTGCGAATATATGCCAATGCAAATCTTTGATTGATAATAACTTTAATTATCAATAAATAAATATTATAACAATTGAATGTTAATAAACTATTTATTGAGGCGATTCCAACAAGTACCCACAAGATTATATTTATTCTTATGTATAAATCACAAACATTAGTCTAGTCAATTAGATAAATAGTGAAAAAGACAAAGAGTTTATATCAATTTTGAACTTCAACCATCAATTTAAGTTTTTAATTGAGTTAAACCTCTAACATAATATAAGTGCGACATGGCATATAATTGGCCTTGTTTGGTAAAGAGTTTTTTGGAGAGCTTTTAGCTTATTATACCATATTAGAGGTTTGACTATTTATAAAAGCTAATTTGGGTGTTTAGTAAATAGCTTATTAAAAGAGCTTTTCGGGCTTAAAAAACTCTTTTACAAAAATCTCATTATAAAAGCTATTTGAAATGAACTCATTGAACAATTAGCTTTTTGGCTAAATACATTAAAACAACTAACAATTAACAGCTATTTACCAAACAATTTTGTAAAACTAGCTAGTCAAACCAGCTAACAACTACTGTAGTTATATCAATCAGCTATCAGCTAATTACCAAAAATAAACAATAACACCGGACATTGGCCAAAAGCTAATTAAAGAGTTAGGCCACTTTGCCACTCTCACAAACAAACGGAAGGTGTATATGAAACAATTCTTTTGGATTTTCAATAATACTGTACGAGTACAATTTACGAATCAAAAACCAACCAAAAAAAGAACAAAAACGCAAAAACTCTGTTACAAATTCCTTTCTTATGGAAGAGAGATTAATGGACCAGGAACATCCACCCTCTCAAAAGCTCTAAAATCCCATCTATTTTATTTATTATTATAAATATACCATGTAATTCTAATTTCCATCTCCCAATCTCCTCATTTTCTCTCTCCTCGATTTTGAATGAACCTGGACTAAAAATGGCGGAAGGTGAGTTTTTGTTTTCCAAGGAATTGGATGTTGCTGTTCGAGTTGTTCATTTGGCTTGCGCTTTATGCCAGAGAGTTCAGAATAGCTTGCTTTCCACTAATGCTTCCCAGGTCAATTCTAAAGATGATGATTCTCTTGTCACCGTTGCTGGTAATTCTCTTTACTTATTTATATTTATATTTTTTTGGTTTTTATGATTTGGGTTTCATGAATTTTGGCATGAGGTGTTTTGTTTGATGGGTATGCTTCAATTGTACGAATGTTTTCTGGGTTTTTTTTTTTTTTTTTTTTTTGCATTGTTTTGGTTTTATGATTTTAATGGCAATGTGGGTTGATTATGAAATTTTGTATGATGCTGTTATGCTTTGATAATTTTTATTTTTGATAATTTGGGTGCCCTTTAATGGAGTGTTTGATTAAATAGTTTTGATTATGTTGCATTGCATTAGTATTGCTCATTTGATGATGGTGTTTAAATGGGATGCCTTTAGATTGCTTTAATGGAGGGTTTGGTTACATTTTTCTTACTAATTTGATAATCTTGCATTAGTATTGATTATTTGATAATGGTGTCTCAATGCGAATACCTTCAGATTGAATGTCTGTTATACATACACTTGGGTGTCTTAAGAAATGATAATGGTTTGAAGTGTTAATTAATTATACAAAGGTTTGAACTTTGAAGGCTGTTATTAATTTCTCACTTTCCATGGTAAAATTTTGCATGATTAGCCAATTAGTGAAATACAATCTGCCGAAGAAAGTGATGTAATGGAGTGTAAGACTCACAATTTTTTTTGAAGTATCTCTCTAGTGAGGCCTTTCAAAGAAGTCCTATCTATGTCTCTGGAGGTTACTTTCTTTCGAAAAGGACAGAATGGCAACTCATAAAATGACTGTGGGTAATGTTGTGTATGCCCTGTCGTGTAGTCGTGTCAAGTCGTGAATCAGAATTAGAACTTTTCTGGTTTAATTATAGCTTGGTAAAAAAAAAAAAAAATTATACACCCGAGTGCAAGGTGTACTTAAAGTTTTTATTTTTGGCTCATTATAAAATTTTAAAATGAGCAAAAAAAAAAAAAAAAAAAAAATCAAATGAGGTGCACCCGGGTGTATATAAAAGGATTTGATAGCTTGGAAAGATGTTCTACCACTAGCTTATTTAAACACTAAATCATAGGAGTATTATTTTTTAGTTTTGAAGATTGTCTTACCTTTGCTTGAACAGCATTGGTGTTTCAATGTCAGTTTTTTTTGTTTGTTTGTTTGTTTTTTTTTTTCTTTTTTCTTTTTTTGCAATTAATTTTTAAGTTATTTTGGTTTTGTTAATTGATAGATAGCCTTTTCAATTGTGTATTCATTCAAATTTGACTTTATATTCGTGTTATGCTTTGTGCACATGAATTTGATGACAGATCGGCATTACTGCATGAACAGATTATAGTGTACAAGCTGTTGTTAGCCAGATACTGTCAGAATCTTTCGGAAGCCAAAATTTGTCCATTGTTGCTGAGGAAGATGCACAAACTCTCTCAAAGTCTGACTTATTGCAGGCAGTGGTGAATACAGTGAACGAAAGCTTCTCAGAAGCTCCTAGGTTTGGTCTTAAAGTCTCAAATATTCCTCTTTCCCCCAACCAAGTGCTTGAAGCCATTGGTCGATGTAACTCTTCTGGTGGTCCTAAAGGAAGACATTGGTTTTGGACCCTGTTGATGGAACCCTGGGCTTTGTACGTGGCAATCAGTATGCGGTTGCCCTAGCGTTGATCGAGGAGGGAAGGGTAATACTTGGAGTCCTGGGGTGCCCCAACTACCCAGTGAAGAAGGGTCTAGTGAACCACCATCATCAACTCGCATCAGAAATGTCCTCTGCCTCTCCTGATATGTGGGAGAAGGGCTGTGTAATGTATGCAAAGAGAGGCACTGGTAAGGCATGGATGCAGCCATTAATTCATGGAGAATTGAAGCTTAAATCCTTTGAATCTGCGAGAAAAATTCAAGTTTCCTCCGTTAAGGATCCAGCTCTTGCAACATTTTGTGAACCAGTGGAAAAAGCCAATACCAGTCATTCTTTCACAGAAGGGGTAGCTCACAGTGCAGGACTTAGGTGGGTGTATTTGAATGTTTGTGTGTGTGTGTGTGACTACCAAAGAATACTCTATTTTCACTGATGATGTTCTCATTGTTTAAGCCTTGAGGTGAAGTTAATCTCATATCAATCATGAAATGTGAAGTCATGAATATATTAAGACATCATTTGTCTAGATCACATGTCCATATATAATATGAAGTATGAAATTAGGCGTGTTCTCAACCTGCTCGCACATTTAACTTAGTATTTTAAGGATTGGTTTGTATTTTTCTTTTGTGTTATTTCGTTTGTCCTGTAATTATATGCACTTTTTTTTTCTCTGCTATATATGAGAATAATCTTCTTAAACTTGAATGCTTTGGTGGCAATTTTATCGATGCAGTTAAATAATACACTTGTAAATCTTAAACTTGGTTCATACATGAAAGGCTTGTTACCTCCCTGATAACTCGTACTTTAATGTCATCATTGTTTATTCATTGAGTTCTACAGTTTGTATTTGAACCTTATGGCTTCAATTTATTAAATTGTTTCCAGGAAGAAGCCTTTGCGTGTATATAGTATGGTGAAGTATGCAGCCATAGCTAGGGGAGATGCAGAAATTTATATGAGGTTTGCTACGGCTGGCTATAAAGAGAAGATATGGGATCATGCTGCTGGTGTGCTTATTGTACAAGAGGCTGGTGGTGTGGTCACTGATGCAGGAGGACGCCCACTGGACTTTTCAAGGGGAGTGTATTTGGAAGGTCTTGATCGTGGAATAATTGCTTGTTCTGGAGCTGTATTACATGAGAAAATTATAGGTGCTGTTGATACTAGTTGGAATGCTCTCTCCTGTGAATGTGGGAGTATCTGCATTGAAGAAGGTAATATGTCGTAGTTAAATCCTTCTTTCTTATTTCTTGCTATTGGTTCATCTTTTAGCCTCAGCAAGTGAGTTATGGCTATTTTTTCATATAAACAAAGATTTTATATTAGTGAGCATTCATTTTACCATATGTTGGAGTGTTGAGAATCTGACAGTCCCTTACCTTTCATATTGTCCACTAGAATTACCAAACCTTGTGAGTGATTAAAAAAGGGGGAAACTACAATATTAATTCTTAACAATGCCTATGAGTTGGTAGTTTGGTCACTGTTGAGGCCGGAGACCAAGGCAATGGTGTAGATAGGCTTCGATTCCACTTCCTTTGCTTGATTATCACCTCCTAGAATTATGCATGCACATTTCAGCTCCTATAGTTTCTATTGTAATGGGTGTTAGCAGCTGAGACCATCTTTCAATGCCTTTCTTACAGCTGAACTGCATTTTTGAGGTTTCTGCCGCTGCTTCTTCCAGTGAACTCAGGAAGGATGCCCATGAAAGAACCAGTAATAACTTCCTGCAAAGACAAAAAAAAAAAAACCTTCCTGCAAAGACCGCCCAAGCAACTAGTGCAGTTGCTTTTCCATTTTTTCGCTTCAAACAAGCGTCTAAATTTGTGGAACTGCTCGATATTTTTTCCTTGGTATCAAGTTGCACTTGTTGAATTTTGTTGGCTAAAAGAACAGATTTATCTACAGTTAATGCATTAATTCTCTTTGCAGTTGTTACCTGTTCTAAACCAATGTTCTATTTGAGGATGTATTGAGATGCATACATTGAATAAGAAAACACTAATTTTAAAAATGTTTGAGAAATTCCTTCACGACTATTATCTAGTTTGGATTTTTACAGCAACAGAACAAACATGGATAAAGAAGAGAACAAGAGATAGAGATGCTTAAAATAACTGCAACCTCGCCTCAATATTTCATAAAATTTCGGTCACAACTGCTCTTAAATTGAAATGAACGTTTATAACACCTACTTCAAAGAATCAGAGTATAGTGTTATTACTATCAACATAAGCATGAACTTTCTTTTCAACTTTACACACAAGTAACGTGTCGTCATTCATATGCTTTTAACATCTCATTTAGACAATTCTCCCAGGCATCAATGTCATCTTCTCCTCTTAGATTTGTTGCCTGTTCGACAATTTTGAGAGGCACACCCCTACATTGCTCAACAATTTTTTGGGCTACTTTTTCTATTGGAGGCTTAAGCTCGAATGCTTGTTGCACCTGATTAAATAGATCCAAGGCTTCATCATACGGAAGTGGATCGATTGTTATTATATTGTTCTGGCACCCAATTTTTCGACACACATCAGGAGATCGTGAAGTGATGATCATTTTTCCTGTTCCTGCACCAAGCGGAATCCCTACCTTATCTTCCGAGAGATATTTCTTCAAGCCATCTAATATCAGCACAAAGTTCCTTTGTCGCAATGCTCGATGCAAAAAAGCTGCCCTTTTTGGCAAGTCCTCTTCCTTCAAGTCAATTCCTAAATCTTTCGCTATAGCAGCCTGCAGATTATATTCATTTTGATCTTCAGGTACTGTAATGAAGTAAACATGTTCATAACATCCTAACAGCTGATTATGAATGTTTTTCATTACAGCAGTTTTTCCTATTCCTTTGATTCCATGCACCCCAATTTTAGTAACTCCATTTCGTAACCACGTAACAATTCTCCTTCTATTCTCATTTGCAGCCTTGCCCACCAGCAGTGTTTCCACGAATTCCACTCGTTCTCTAACAGGAGATAGTACCTCTTCAAATACTCCTAAACTGTAAATATCATCCACCTCTCGAATCAGTCTCTCAACAAGATTACCTAACCAAGCTCGATATAGGAACTTCCAGAAATAATTAGTTTCTCTCAACATATCTTGTAGCAATAACGTTTGTACATCATTGCATTTGGTTCCAGCAGAAGATATCCAATTATCAACTTCTCTTTTTCTCCGCCTTCCTGTCTGAAACTCTTTATCTTCAACCTGCTTTATCATATCATCTAGTCTTACATGTAACGAGTCCCTTCTTTCATGGAGTGTTTGCACGTTGGCGTTGAGATTGTTGTAGAAGTGGATCCACCATGGTAAACTGCCAATGAAGTCCAATGCATCCTTAAACGAACCAATCCCATCTGAGATCTTTTTCAAGTCCAAGCGTTCTGCTCTTAGCAAACAGACTACTGTAATTAACAGCAGCAGCGCTGTGTATACTGCATTAACTGCAAAAGAAAGGAATGTACTAAGAAATTCCCCAGTCCATGCTTTAGATCAGATTTCATAATCCCAAAATTAGAGAAATCCTCATGATTCATTTCATATAGTGGCATATAGAGAAATCCAAATACTATCTTAGGAGGGTTGACAACTATAAAAGTTACAAGCTTACAACTATCCCAGACATTTAATTTCGGATGGAGGGGTAAACTGAACAGTTGTACTGTTGTACATTTCTTATTTCTTGTGTTTAGACATAAAATATTCCAGAGTTGCAAATAATATGAAACGAAGTTAGTAATTGCACTTCCTTTTATTTTATTTTTATGGTTCATACCCGGAGTATTTCACAATCAGCTAAATCAATGTATTAACTTCCAAGAACCAGCATCTTGTAAACTAAAATCAAGATGGGTTTAGCCTCGGATATATTCCTGTAAGACTTAGATAATTTAATACTTTGTAGTCTGTACTACTATTATTCCTCGAAAACTTTACCAACTAAACTAGCTACATCAGCTAGCTCATAACATTTTGCTTTCCCTATAACTGTTGCAACAATCAATATTTGCTCTAGTTTGCAAAAAATTTATTGCCTGTTACACCGTAACAGGCATAAATAGCAGAGAATTTAAATGGGAAACCAATTGAATCAAATCTCAAACTCCAGAAATATAAAAACGAACAAAATTAATAATACAGTAAATAACTAACAATTAATTAATATATATAAGAAATTAAAATGCAAAGAAAATAAAATGGTAAAGTACTTACGATATTCAATCATTGGAAACGATCAGTATCTTCCCAAGGGTTGATGAGGAAGAGAGAGAAAGAACAGAAGCAGAATATTTGAGTTTTGAGTTAAAAAAAGAAAAAAAAAGAAAAAAAAAAAAGTGGACTCTATTACTACTTTAGTAGAAGACATGAGCTTAAATTATTAACTTTGTTGGGAGAGTCAACCTTTAAAGTCTTCTGTCCCAACTTGCCTATGCAATTTACTGCTTCGTACATATTTCCTGGAAGTTACATCAACAATTTAACTTTAGGGAAATGGGTAGCTACTAGCTAGCGATTAAAGGTGACAATCTAGTCGTTTAGATAAGGTTGAGTTTTCGTGTTCTAGATACTTTAGCTCTGATCTTGTTCGGGTAATGAGTAATATAAATAGTTTTAGGTTGAAAAAATGGGTTACAGGTAGGGGTGAGCAAAATCGAATACCCGGTCAATTTTAATGAACCCGGAATCAAACCCAGTTATAACCGGGTCCGAGATTTTGGAACCAGCACTGGAACTGGTTGTAACCGGGTCCCGTAGTGGCGGAACTGATAGGAACTGGTTCCAAGACCGGATACCCAGTTCTTATTTCAATATTTCCCAAAGTTAAAACTAAATTGCAATACAATTTTAACTACATAATTAATTTCTATAAACCTCAATATATTGATTTGTCACAATTCAGTAAACATTATCAATAAAAAAAAAAATCAATAAACGATTATAATTTCACTATGAAATAAAAAAAAAATCCCCAAATATATTCCATTGCTTCATTCTTTGCAATTCTCGAATTATGCAGCTC